GCCGGGTGCACGCCACAGGCTGCCACGAGTGCCAGCACTGCTTGGTGGTGAGCGCCAGGCTGGGAGAGCTCTTTGGGGAGCCCCCGGCATGCTGTGTGCACTCATGCAGCATCCGTCCTGCCTGGCCGGGCCTTGCAGCTCGGGTTAGAAGGACCCAGGGTTGGGGTGGGAGCCGCAATCTTCCCACCAGCCGGTGGCCCCATTGCAGGATCAGGACAACTTGCCAGAGGACGTCGTGTTTGGTGCAGTTGATGCTCTCGGCTGTTGGGCTCTAACAGGCGCCTTCCTGGTGCGTGCCTCTGGGAGCTGCTGGGCACCGAGGTCTGCAGAGCAGGGTGCTGGGTCATTTCCCCTTGTCAGGGCAGGGCACCTGGTGAGGTGCAGATAACCCCATCTGGGGGTCAAAGGAGCCGAGCAGCCAGCAGCTTTGTGCTCTCGGAGCTGCGGTTGGTTCTGCCTCTGCCCGGGATCAGCGGAGGCATGGGGAGAGTGTTTACTTGTGCTGTGTGGTTCATGGGGCTGGTTTGTGGGAGGTGCAGGGCAGCTGCCTGGGCAGAGGCCGCTGCAGCAGTGCAGCCAGCTCATGGGTTCCTCTCCCTGCAGGAGTCTTACCCAGCTGTTCCCCCCATATGGTCCGTGGAGTCCGATGATCCCAACCTGGCAGCTATCCTGGAGAGGCTAGTGGAAGTCAGGAAAGGAAATACCCTGGTGAGGAGGGCACTGTGATATCGGGGAATTCCTGGGTGCTCTTCTCCTCAGGCTGCCGCTTGCCTGTCTGCCTGTTCTCCAGTGCTTGTCTGTTGTGCTGGAAGGAGATGGGTTGTCTAGCTGGGACCCCCAGGCCTTTGCCTTCTGCTAGGACGTGGGTTCCCTTCACACAGTGGCTGCAACAGCACCATGCTCATCCTCGGAAGGGCCGTGTCCAGCAGGATGCAACTCTGGGCTGTCCCCAGGCCCTCGCCTGTTTGCAGAGAAGCATGGTGCCATTGGCTGTGCTCCATGGCTGGGGCTTGGGGCTTCCTCTCACCTTGCTGGTCTCTCCTCCTTGGGCAGCTCTTGCAGCACCTGAAGCGGATAATCTCGGACCTGTGCAAACTCTACAACCTCCCGCAGCATCCAGATGTTGAGATGTTGGACCAGCCTCTCCCGGCAGAACAGGTGAGCCGGCTTCCACCAGGCTGCATCAAGAGAGATGTGGCTGTTCAGGTGGCTTCTTTGCAGCTCCACGCTGCTGTGAGCCTTCTTGGGTGTGACCAGCCCAAGCCTGCAGTCTCTACAGAGTTGTTTCTGCAGCTCTCTAGCTTGGGAAGTCTTCCCACAATGCTGTCTTTTTGCAGGGCTAAGGTATCTCCCAGCTCATTGTGGGGCATGGTGGGTAGATTAGCATCTGTTCCCTCCCTGATATACTCTGCGTGTTGTGACCATTGAGGGGCGCTCCTGGGCGCCTCCTGATACTGCCCAGGCTCAGCTACGGAGGCAGTTCCCTGGGCGGAACAGCTGGTGAGGTTGAGCTCTTGGCATGACTCCCCAGTCAGACTGGGGTGGGCTGTGGCCTGCTGCAGGCTTAGTGAGGCACAGGACTACATCTGACTCTTCCTGGGCCTCCTTTAGGTGGGCACTGCCTGAGCTTGGGCACAGCCACTTGGGACAGAAGCTGGCAGGTTGCCAGTCCCTTGTGTGGGTAGCTCTCCCCACCAGGATGGCAGTGGTCTGGGACATGTCAGAGGAGGATGGTCTGACCCTTTCCCTTGTCACCCCACTGCTGCAGAGCACACAGGAAGAAGTATCTTCTGAAGAGGAAGATGAGGAAATGCCAGAGGTAAGGGAGCTCTTCTGTGTCAAGTGGGGCTGGGGGATCATGAAAGGAGCCAAGGCACTGAGTCCATGCAGTGCAGCACGAGCCCCTGGTGCTGGCTCGGCTGGGGCAGTTTCTGAGTGCATGCACTCAGGATTGGTTCCTTGTGGCCTATTCACCGAGAACCTCAAGGGAGTGGCCTGCTTGTCTGCATCTGGCTGTTATGAAGGCTGGCAGTAGCCAGGCGTGATGCTGGGTAGGCAGGGAACAGGTCCTTAGGCTTGGTCCACTGTCCAGAGCTTGACACTGACCCACTGGGCTCTGCTTTGCCTGGTGCTGAGTCTTCTGAGCTGATGTGGCAAACACAAGGAGATCCCACTCCTGAGGAAAGAGGGCAGGGTGGGATCCAAAGCATGCGCACCACCATGGGGGCATGTGGGCGGCTGGGCTCTGCCAAAGGTTGAGAATCCGCGTGCTGCGAAGCTCCCGGGCTTTGGCAGCTCACTTTGAGGTCTAAAGAGCTCTTGACGTGGGTGGAATGGAAGAGTGTCTCCATGGTGACGGTTCCTGAATGCCCTGCTTGGGGAGCTGGGCACGTGGGTTCTCTGCCCTTGGCTGCCAGGGCATGGATCCAGGACACTAGGGGTGCACAGGGCAGAGGGCATCCTGTTGAGCCGCAGTCAGGGAGGCCTGGCAGGAGGCAGCACGTGGGTCTCCTCGCTGCGGTGGGCAGGAAGCCTTAGTGGTAAACAGCCTGGGAGCTCATGGCTGCTCACAGAGCATGGGAAAGGCTAGAGGAAGGCATCATGTTCTCATCCTGGGCCTGGGGCTTGCACTGGTGTGCTACCGACAGGCTGGCCAGATGGGCCAAGGGCTCTGTTGTGCGGGTGGTATGTCAGCTGGGCCCTGGGTCTGGCACCATGGAGCTGCCCCGGGGCAGGGCTGTGAGTGCCAGTTATTGAACAGCTTGAGGAGTTCCAAGCCCCTGCACCCTTCCCCAAGTGCTCACTTCATCCTGAAGAGCAGTAGCTGCCCTGGAGAGTCTGTGAGCATTTGCTTACAGAGGATGAATCCTAGCTCAGGGCTCTGTGTTGGCATCTAGGCAACAAAGACCTGCTAGCAGCTTCTTCCCTAGTGACAGGAGCCATAGTGCTCCAGCCTCCTGGCTGAAAGATTGCCTGGGGTGGAGGTTTGCACTAGTGCAGTCTGCTGTGCACAGGTGCTCTGAGGGTCCGGCAGCCTCAGGCTGCCCTGAGAGAGACAGGGAGCTGGTGTGGGCCTTGGTGAGGACAGTGCTGCAGGTCCCACCAGTAGCCTCCATCAGCTTCGTCCCGAGGCAAGTGGAGAGGGGCAGGATTGGGGGAGACTCCCTCCCAGGCATGC